ATTTATTTCCAAAAACATTTTTGTAATATGCATTCTATATCCTTTTAAATTCTGTAAAATCTGTGGTAATGTCTCCTAGATCTTAATATTGTAATTTAAAAAATGTATAACTGATATTGTGTAACAGGAAGAAAAGGTCTAAAAGACCAGGGGAATTGGGAAGGGTAGGGAAAGCGAAAAAAGGGAAAGGAAAAAATATGAAAAGAGGAAAAAAAATGGAAACAAGGTCTTTGCAAAAAGGGAAGGGTGTAGGGGGTGAAGGGAGGGCAAGGGAAGGGGAAAAAAATAAGAACCAAGATACTCATGTAAAGGTACAAGATCCCAATGATGAATGTAACTGTATTTTATACCGAAAATGTACCAATAAACTTAATGGGGAAAAATAAAAAAACAAGGTTTCTGAAGAGACTAAGAAAATAAACAATCCTGGAAAAGGTAGTCAAGAAACAAGGCACAAATACAATTAAACAGAGCTCATAATAAATAGAGATTTTAAAAAGCATGATACGCTAAATAATATAGTACAAATAAATGTACAAACTTAGTTCAATTTGCCAGTTGCCTAGAAGAGCACTTGATGCATCAAAACTAATAAGAAATTTTAAAAATCTGAATAGACCTATAGTCATTAAATAAACTGAATTAGTATTTTTTAAAAACATACTCTCAAATTTAAAATACCCGGTGATTTTATAGGCAAGTTTTACCAAATATTTGAGGAACAGATAATGTTTCTTTAAGCTATTCTAGTGATTTATTGGAAATATATTGAAGGAAATTGAGGGAATTCCCCCAAAATTAGCTCCAATGCATAATAGAAACCAAGAAAGAATGCAGAAGTCTAGACCATTTCTGTAAGATTCTACCATAGAGTTGACAATTCCAGCTATCAACATTCCCTCTATGTTGACTTTTCTCTTTCGTGTAGGTAGATATACTCTAACTGGTCAGGAAGATACTTTTAGTAACTCCAGATTCACACCCCTTTATCATTATCACTTCCAGTCATAGGCAATCTGCCTTGACTAACTAGCTAGAATATCTTGGGGAAGGACTCTGATCAGGCTTGGTTTATGAAACAGTTCAAGGGAATAGGTTACTGTGGTCAGATCTGGATCATGTTCACACCCCTCACCATTGTCAGGAGAGAAGTTAGATGCAACGGTAGAAGCTGGAAGAGAAACATCCTAAGGACACAAATAATAGTTGCTACAGAAAAAAATGGAAATTCAACATGAAAATTAAATGTGGGAGAGAAGATAGTGCATTAACCCTTACATGACAGAGACCACAAAACATCTTCAAATTGGAAAGCAAGAGACCTGTGTTCTATAATGTGGGATAAACCTCAGTGTAAAATGTGATAGATTAAATGATTTCTAAATTTACTTCTAACTTCAGTATTTTATGGTGATATTTGCCACTCATATCTCCAAGGTTGGTGGAGTGGCTGGCTGTCTTAGTTACTTTTCGAGTTGCTGAGCCAAAGTACCCAACACCCAAAGTTAGAGGAAGAAACTTTATCTGAGGTATAGTTAGTTCATAGAGGTTTCAATGCATAGTTGGCTGGCACCAAGGCAGGGTGGCATGGCAAAGGGGCATCACTGAGGATAAACAATCAGTGGCAAAGCAGGACAGTCAGAAAGCAAGCACAAGCAAGCAACAAGCAACAACCTTCTTTCTGTCCCTTATATTCCATCCAGGCTACCCACCCTCAGGGCAGGTAGCACTTATACCCAGTGTGGGGCACCCTTAATCCTTCCTAGGACTATGTCAAACCAGTCAGTGGACTAATTTAGTAATCACACACACCCTTGATTCCAGTTTCACGCACTTACTCTCAGCATCACATACTCTCTAGATCCAGTCATCTCTGAAAAGCCCCACCTCTGACCACATGAGGGTTTGAGAGGACATCTAGACACAAACCATAACACTGGTACATAGTAGGTATTCATTAAATATAGTGAAATGAACAAAAGAATAACAAATGTTTATAAGACTAAGTTAGGGCTGAGGATTTAGCTCAGTGGCACCGTGCCTGCCTTGCAAGTTCAAGGTCCTGAGTTCAATCCCCATACCAAAAAAAAAGACTAAGTTAAAGAAAATTGAAGGGAAAACTATTTGGTCTAATAATTGGATGATTTTTGAACACCATATTTAGAAATGGACTCTACTCAACAAACCTGGAGTCTATGAGACTGTAAGTGATTTATGCCATAATGTCTTTTTCTGTTATTTAATCAAAGTTATTTTCATCTCAAATGTATGAGTAGGTAGGAATCAAAATGGAATTATTATGTTACAATTTTTTTCAGCCATATGCAGTCCAAGAGCTCAAAGCAGTTGCAGGTGTGATGATTACTGCATCTCACAACCCCAAGGAAGACAATGGATACAAGGTATGTTGCACTCCTGATCTTTGCTTATTTTATAGTTCTTATTTTATTTCAATAATATGTGTTACAAGCTAAACATTGGGAACTGGAAGATAAAATCATTGAGGCTGGCCCTCACAGAATTTATATTCCTAATGGCCCTTACTACTTCTCAACATGTAGAATTACAAAAGCGTCTTCATTGGTCTTTTTACTTGTAACTGCCCTTGACATCTCTGTCACATCCAAAATCTATGCTGCTATTTCAGAAATACAGTTGCATTGTACCAAGAATGTGAAGAATGCATGAGAGTGTATAGGAAGAAAGTCAGAGAAATGATACCTTGATCTCACTTTCCCCTCCCTCTGACCTTCTGCCTTGGTTCTCCATTGACCACAGGATCCATTTGCTGTATCAGGAGTAGAGAAGGGTAAAAAATGACTCTGGAAGTGTTATCGGGTAGCTCCTTCCAAAAGTGGCTTGCCAAATAAACATTACTGGATTTTGGGTTGCTCACCTCTCCTTTTGGAGTCAGATTCCAGGTTCTTCTCATCTTGAACAAAGAATTAAACAAAATGAGCAAAGAGCAGTGCCAAAGTTTATTTGAAAAAGTAAAAGTTGCTGGGAGTTGTGGCACACACCTATAATCCCAGCACTTAGGAGGCTAAAACAGGAGGAAAACTGGGAGTTTGAGGTCAGCCTGGGCTCATAGTGAGTTCTAGACCAGTCTGAACTACATAGTGAGATCCTGTATCAAAAAAAAAAAGTAAAATTGAAGAGTGAGGGAGAAACTGGCTCTACAGACTAAGCTTGAGCCAAGTAAAAGAGAAAAAAGCAGGATAAAAGTACATACACCCTGGAGGAAGCGGGGCAGGCTATCATGAAGAAAGATACAATATCAAGCTCTTCTTGATATCTGTGTCCTTTTATACTGTCCAAATCTCAAGGAAATGCACAAGAACTTCTACATATAGTTCCTGTGAGGAGGTGCTGGGATCCCACACCTCAGGCTGATGTCAGTTGTAGGCTACCCTATTGAAAGCCTGCTGGAGTTCTCTTGAGAAGTCCACATGCAGGGTTTTGGGAACAGTTCTGTGGATATGTTCTGGAATCTTATAATTAATTTCTTCTATACTGCATAACAGCATGACTTTATAATGTTGAGTTTAATAATATAAAGTTTTATGGGATACCCTATAGTAGATATCTTTTCGTAGATTATTTTAGTATGTATATGCATATTATATAATGCCTGCTTATATTGTCTTGTATTGTTATTAAAGTAAATTCTAAAAAAAGAAATAATATGTGATTTTTTTTATAAATCCCCATGGAATCATTACCATCAATACCTTTTTGTATTTATTAGTCTTGTGTTGAAATTTTTTACTTAATATACTTTTTCATAAGCCAAAAATCTCTACCGTAGCTAAGAATAGATCTGATAAGCATTTCAAGTAATTATAGCTATATTTACCTGTCCTCTAGGTTTATTGGGAAACTGGTGCTCAGATCACATCTCCTCATGATAAAGAAATTCTGAAATGTATAGAAGAATGCATGGAACCCTGGAATGGTTCCTGGAATGATAATTTAGTGGACACTAGTCCACTGAAGAAAGATCCTCTGCAGGACATTTGCAAGAGATACATGGAAGATCTGAAAAAGATCTGTTTCTACAGGTATCCAAGTTGAAATACAGAATTAGTATTGTTAGGCAAAGGTTAACAAGTAAGGGAAGAAAGTGATTTTATAAGTGTTGTCTATTCATTATATTTAAATTATAGTTTAATAGTATTCATAATAGTCAAAAGTGTGA